TGTTCATGTACAATATCTTTTAATCACAATACTAATAGTTACAATAAACCTGGACCTGGTGAGGTACTTAGCCAAGAGATTAGTTTTCAGCACTTGCAGCTGAGATATTTTGGTAGGATAGTTCACATGCTGTACTGTTTTGCCAGGTCCAGGCAAAAGATGGCGTAGGCTGAATGCTGTAGAAACCCTGAGGCAAACATCTGCACCTAATGCTTTTAACTTTAGCTTAAGAACTGCCCTCCTAAAGTTTGTGCCTCGATGTGTTTATTCTGTAAAACTCTATAGCTGGTAGATGGAGGTTAGAAGACCTTTTGCCCCCACATTCAGTGCCCATCTCCTGCTCCAAGCTGCTCGATAGACCTCATCTGTATTCTAAGACAATGGTGGCTTCTCTCCACCTTGGCTCCAAATGCAGAGGCTGAAGATGAATATGAAATCTGCCACTTGTCCCTAGTTAAAACTGTAGCCATGGTCCTGGCCAGTGACCTAAGGAGATGCCACTGGAAGGCAGGGCTCAGCCTCCTGGCCACATCCGTGTCAAAGTCCCACGTGAGGGGAAAGTGTTCTTCCTCTGGTTCAGCAGACAGCAGGACTGCACTTCCTACACTTGGTGATAAGAGAAGTAATAACTCAAGCTGGCATTAAAGGCTGGGTGTTGAGGCCCTAGATACTTTTTATTTCACTTGAATTCCTCAGCACGCTTTATACCATGTATTAGTTGTTCAGTCCAGTTTTGGGAAGTAGACAAATGAGACGGATGTTGTAGTTGGCAATTGTGTGGCAAAATCATTCTGCTTTTGAAATAGGCGTGTCTTCCAATTTTAGTGTTTGAATCATAATACGACACACATGCTTTCTATGTCACTCTTCAAAAAAACAAAACAAAACAAAACAAAACAAAACAAAAAAAAGCACCATGATCTCCACTTGTCCGTCTCTAGTGTTGTAACTTAAGCATTTGCTGGTGAACACTCTGTCTATCTTTCCACTGTCGGCTACATGTATGACTGCTGTTCCTACCACAGCTAACAATTTTTATCTAACTGGGGAGGCCTCAGCTTTTTACTGTGTACATTAATTTTGTCAGATACTTTTTAAATTGTGTCTCAGATATCTTCCAATGTCCTTCCGTGTGCTTTCATAGCTTATGGCTGTATGCAGGTTAGAAGGCAGTCCAGTCAGATAAGCAAAGTGGCATACAGATTGCAACAGAGAAGTTTCTCTTGTAGACAGGTAAATTTTCCTGTGATATGTCCTGGAGAGGTAGGGTTAGCGTTGTTCAGGCAGCTACCTATGGCTAGTGTTAGAAGAATAATCTTAATTTGCCAACACTCATCTAAACTTTTGAGATATTTTAGATTGGACCTAAATATAAAATGTTCATCAGGTTCATTTTGAGTGGGTTTGCTCTCTTCACATGCTAAATATTCCTCATGTTCATAGATAATTTTTTTCTTGTGTATTTGTGTACAAAGTAGGTGCCACAGTTTTCTGTGTTTTATCTTGTTCTTTTATCAAGCTGGAGTGCTTGATTTATCTTGTATATTCTCTGCCACATATTAAAAGCTGCACTGAGCAAATGTTGTTCACTGTCACTGTAATAACTAAGCCAACCAATATTAAATTTGGGATGTAACAGGTGTAAAATCAATCACTGTCCTTAAAGAAATGTAGCAATATCTTCCTGTTTCATTTCTCATAGAAAAAAAAGGTCTGGTAGGTCAGTCCTTTCCTCTTTTGGATTCATGACTGTGTATTGAAAAAATTACTAGGAAGTTATTGTTCCCTTCTACAGACACAAAATTGAACCTTTTTCTGGGATGTGGAACAATCCTTATGAGCTTCTTATTTGTGCAGGTTGTTTCAAATACATTTTTCTCTTTAATAACTGTGTTCCTTCCTCCAAAGCATCTGGCACCATCTAATGATGGAGGCAGGTTATCACCCATAACTTATCTTTGTTTCACTTCCCCCACACTCTTTTTCTGCTGAAGAGCTCTATTAGGATGACAGCCACATCTTCCACTGTCATTGCTTCTTTGCTGTGCTACTCTGGAGGTTAAGAGGGGCTCTTACTCCCTTTTGTGGTTCAGTAAGTGCTGTGGATCTATCCACACCAGTTGATACTGTGTGTACATGAATGGACTGTCTTTACTGAAAATACACGTGCTGTGGTAAGCATCAGGAATGAAGACATTCCTGCAGTGTATGCAGCTGTCCGTGAGCTCCTCTTCTGCAGTGAAAATGTGGTGTAGGAGCAATACACTGAATGAGAATCCGAGGTGCAAAACAGTTTTCAATTGTTTCATAATATGAGTTTATTAAATAATCTGTCTATTGGCTTCATATTGCTTTGTATTATTCAGCTGCCCTCATAAAATTCCTTTCTTCCTTGCCTGCCAGATGCATGGCATAGTCTGAACCACAGTAAAGATGACTCATAGTAGTCACTCTGTATTTCTCTCTCTTCTCATTTCCTGCCTAAATAATAACAAACACTTTGGACCAAATTGAAGCTTGTAAGGTTTCTCTTCAAAATTTCAAGCTATTGTTTTTTATTTACTATTAGTAATGTTCATTTTTATACTTTTTTTTTTTTAATGTGAGATTATTTTCTTCCTTTTGCTAAATGCTGGAATTCATATAAATACATAAAATAAAAAAGCAATCCAGAAAGCATTCCAGTAACAGTAGCAGTCATGTCTCTACTGGAATTACAGATGCAAACTTATTTAAACAGAATGTGCAGCATCTTCAGCAGTTTTTGTTGTTATAGCTGTGGCTTTAAATTATTTTTGTAGGGTTGCTGTTGGTTTGTAGAAGTTTTATTTGATAGTTTATTTAAATTATTTTTCAAAACATGAAAACATTATGTGAGAATTCCGTTATTTCTAAGAATAACTGGAATTGATTTAATCCTCCAGAAATAAATATTTCTGAAATGTGAGAAGTGGCTAAGGCAATAAGAGGGACAGGCTGGTCTATTAATCTTTATTTTGTTTCTTAGCTTGATAGATTGTTGTAGTGTTTCAGCCAGTTAGCTGCAACTAATAATGGAAAAGAAAGTCTATTAAAACACACACAGGAAAGAAAGAAAGAAAGAAAGAAAGAAAGAAGAAAGAAAGAAAGAAAGAAAGAAAGAAAGAAAGAAAGAAAGAAGAAAGAAAGAAAGAAAGAAAGAAAGAAAGAAAGAAAGAAAGAAAGAAAGAAAGAAAGAAAGAAAGAAAGAAGAGAAAGAAAGAGAGGCCAGAAAGAAGAATAAAAAACGAAAACGAGAGAAACGAAAGAGAAAAGAGAGAATAGAGAAGAGAAAGAGAAATCCCTACCCTAGAATCTCGCCCGCTACTTCGCCCATCCTCGAAGGAGCCTCTCGCTAACCCCTGCTACGCTCCTCCCTTCTCGCTCTCTCCTTCGTCTCCCCACTCCCCCATAAAATCCCTCGCTCCTCCTCTCCCTCCCGTCCGAGCCCCCCTCCCACCCACTCCTCCCTCGCCCCACCGAAAAAAACGACAAACACACCTACAGTGCTTTGTTTTATAGTGGCCTATTGGCTAGTACTTGACAATAGCTGAGGTGACAGCTGCCAGTTCATTTTATAGTTGTTTGTTTTACCACTACATACAGCTGTCTTGAAATGTTCTGGCTGTTGTTACTTTACTAATAGGTGTAATTTAAAGTTGGTCTTCTTAAACTGTTACTGAGTTCTGGACTGGTTTTACTATTTTTCTTCTGGGAAAAGAGCCTTTAACTAAGTATCGAGGATTACTTTTTTGTTCCTATGTAACTTAAACTTTTCCACCTGTCCTCTCTCCCCATACCTGAATTTTTCTGTTATGAGGTTGAAAAGATACTTAGTTTCTACTATTGTGGGGCTGTCTTGGGGTTCTGCTGCATGGGGTCATAAAAAGTACAGCCTCCCTTCTTTCTATTTTGCTTTCCCCTCCAACAATTACACTTTTAAGCACAGCTGTTAGTATGATCTAAAGCTTGGTTTCTGAAGTATTAGAAACAGAAAATTTCTCTGAGTTTGTGAATCTGTATCAAGCTAAACTATTTTACTAATATTAATATCCAATGAGTTGAGAATATTCTTTCAATACTCATGATTCACTGTGTTAGAAAGGAGAAACAGTCCTAGGTCACTATCTGGGATTAGTCACAGCAATTATGAACAGTGCTATGGATTAGCAAATGTGAAGTATTTGAAAGCTTTCAATTGGTTCCTGTCTACATATTGAAGCCTTGCATAAAATCATGCATAATGGCAAACATATGTATAAAATGCAGCTCTGTATGTTCATAAATTAAATATATATATATATATATATATATATATATATCTGTAAGAAAGAAAGTAGCATAATCATAATGGAAAAGATAACAGTAAGGACTTGAGCCAGAATTAGAAACTGGCTGAGATTAGATATTACTTCTGGTAATGCATATTTCTTAGGAAGAGCTTTGATTAATCAGTTCTAAAAATCGGAGTTTAGTAATTCATGTAAAGTTTCTTGCACACTACCAGTACAAAGCAGGCTTGATTGCTGTTGGTAGTACATAACACTTCCATGAAATGTGAATGGTGATATTTACAGAAATCACAGCAATACTCATCCAGATAGAGGTAAATTCACTTACAGTCTTTCAAAGTTTAAACTATTATCAGGTCACTGTGATGCCAATAATATCTTTAGCATGAGATATTCTTAATGACTCATGAACATTAGAATAACATTCTGACATTTACCTATTCTAGCCTCAGATTGGGATCTAAGAGAAAACTCTTTTTTTTTTTAAAAAAAAAAAAAAAAAAAAAAAAAAAAAAAAAAAAAAAACAGGGCAGGCTTGAAAACCCAGTACAAGGACATGGAACTCCTCTCTAGAGTCATTCTAATATCAGATGCTGGAACTCTGAATAAAGAAACGAGGTAATTATTACTGAGTCATAGAAACAGGTGCTGTTGTTGACTCCTGTGAGGCTTCAATAAAGGGAACTGGAGCCTCATGTGGTAGAAATAAGGTTTTAAGATGAAGGTTGTGTAAACACAGCTATAAGGCTAGTCAAGTTTTGGGAAAGAAATGTGGTATTTTTCCTTTAATTATTGTAGAGATTGACACAAAATTTACTATGACCTTTGAGTGATATGGTACGAGCTTGTTAGCTCCAGCACCTGTGATGGGCTGGAAAGAGAATTTTCTTCATGTTTGTTCACAAAAATGTGGAACACGTAAGTAATCTAAGTTCTTCTTTCTACTGCCTTGAAGCTTGGAGGGAAAAGGTAAGGGTGAAACATACTAAATGTATTTGTATTTTCTTTAATACATTCATTAATTTTTAGTGTTTCTCTAATTATGGAAAACGAGGAGTTTCACAGAGTATCACTTTTTCTAGTAACTGATCAGTTAACTAAGAATATCTTAGAATATCTCATTTGAATAATGTTTCACAATTAGTAAATTGGATAACAGTGTCATAAACTGTAATAGACCACTTCCCATTTTAGTACTGTGGAGTAGTAAAGGATGTTCCATTAGTAGCAGAAATACTACCTCTGTATCTTTGTTCCAGAGACCTTGCCTGGCAGGTCACGTATGATACACGAGTGTATCCTTGTCTGCATATCTTAAGTGCTGTATGACTTGTTTTCATGTATGGGTGTTCCTTATTATTAATTAAACTAAAAATAACATCTCAGATTCATAACAGCTTTGCTGTTTTAATATCCATGTTTTCTTCTTCTCTGTCCCTAATCAGAACAACTGAATGCCCTAAGGAAAAATAAACTATCTCAGCCTTTGTAGGACTGATTTTTATTTGGAAATTGTCAGAGCACAAAATACTGCCTGTGCTGTTATAATGATCCATGCAGGAGGAAGCAGATCTTGGCTCCAGGGAAGGCCGACCTATTTAATAGAAAGATTGGCTTGCCCAAGGAAGCCATTTTTTAAGCAGATTGAGGTTGCTGTGATCTGCAGGGATATGTGTGTTAGAACTAATAAGTTATCACCATACCCATGATGCTTTCCTCCTGATTGTTTTGTTTTAATTCCAGCAGAAAACACAGAAAGTCCCTCAACAGTATCTGTTGTTGACCTGCTGGGTTTATAGCCTCAGGTAGCCAAACACTTCAAATTACTCATTTTAAAACATATTGCTGACAGCTTGGATACGAGGAGAAAACTTAAAAGTTGTGAAGCTTAAGAGACAAAAGGAGAGCAGCAAAGATGAAACACCAGTCAGATTTTTTTCCACTCACAGTAACTGAGTAATTGCAACCTAGCCAAATCTTTGCAATGAAAATAATTTGTCTCTACACCAGACAGCTGCTGTCTTCATGGTCCTATGGTGGTGCCATTTGTGTTACAAATGTCCAGTCACAGTGTTCTTGGGCTTCTCTAAATTTGCCTCTAATATCAATGAACATACACCTCTTCAATGCTGACCAATCTAGCCTATATTTTATTTCTTATCGTTTAAGCAGACGGGAACTTTAAGGACTCCAAACAAAAAACAGGAATGTGGCCACCTAGTAGTGAAACAAAAACAATGATTAATAAAACACATCCCATCAGGCAACCCCTTGAAATTGCATACATTATTTCTGCTTCGTAGTTGAGAGACACAGTATTACAATGATGAGCCCTGAATTATTTCATTAAATTTCCCTCACTCTGTTCAATCTTTAAAAATTAATTACCAATTCCTCATTCTGTCCATTAGTGAAAACCTACATAAATTATATGGAAGTACTACTCAAGTTGTGAGGTTTTTTTATTATAGTTTTTTTTAGAGGTCTGTTATTGTGAAATACTCTAAGAAAATTTCTGTGCTTAAGTTGGTGGTATGGTTTCTTTCCGTAATGAGTATAAAGAAATATTAAGTATTTGTTTAAAAAAAACAAACAGTAAACAAACTGTTTAAAAATTGTATACCTATACAGGAAGGGGGGAAAAAAGACAACCACGTTCTGTCTATATGAGTGCACCTAGGAATCTAACAGTTTTCTGATCCAAAGCTCATAGAATAGGGAGTATTAGATGATAGGCTGGTGAAAGCTAGTATCTCATCTTTACTTTTCCTGTGCCCATAGGATTGTATCCTATAAAATTCCCACTCTTAATTTCTATAACTTCAAAGAATATAAATGTGAGAGTTCTGTGTGGTGTATCGCTGTGGGTTATTCTATTGTCTTAGAGACAATTTGGAAAACCTCAGCATACCTCATTAACCAGTTGTTCAATTCTGTCTTATTAGAAACTTTAGAGATTTTGTTCTTCTTCATTATTATTTTTAAATAATAATAGTATTTTAATAATACTATTATTAAAATAATACTATTGAAGCATCATAGTACCCCAGTTCATACTTACCATGGCAAACTCTTCTTAAGAATTTGAAGGACTAAGCTGAGTCAGTTTGAAGGACTGAGCTGGGAGTCAATGTAATTTCAGTGTCTGTTCAATGAAGTTTAAGGGATACCTTGGACTTAGGCTGTCCATCATTGCAATACTAATACCCAGAATGTTTTTTCTGTAATTCATATAACAATTATACTAAAAGCTTTTCTAATAGTCTGTTTAAGGGCTTTATATTTTAAGTTTCTGGGCACTTTAACACCTTTAATATTACAATTTTTGTGTGTGGGGGGGGTTCTTTATGAAATAAAATGCATGCTTTCAGAGGAGGCAGAATTCAAATGTGAATGATATCTCTTGGGCTGAATGAGAATTCTTGAGGAGAAAAGGGAACCGAGTTAAATGCATAACTACTGGTAGATAGATTCATCTACTTTTCTCATAGGGTGAGCAAGCAGTAACTAATATTTATTATTGCAAAGCAGATTTTAGGTCCCTTTAGTGTGATCTCATACTCTTCCAACTTTTTGGAATGGATCTGGTGACAACATCCAGGGCTACCTTCAAACTAGTGGAATCATACTTCTTTCTTCCAGATAAGGACTTGTATTTAAAATAACAACGGTGTATATACACCTCTAACCTGACTACATGATTAGTCCTAGACCTTGGCATCTTCTCAATCAGTCATTCATTAGTACCCCTCTTGCAGGGTGAAGTTTCACAAACGTTAGCTAAGCAATCTCAAACAACTTAACATGATTTTAATTTGATTTGTGTCAGGGAGTCCTCAGTCTCATTCTAACAATAGAACGGAGCCATGAAAATATTACTCTGTTTTTTAGTCTTATTTCATTTATGCCTTTAAGAAGAATGGAACATCCAAAGTAAGTGAAAACCCTTTTTTATAATGCAAACAGAGAGACTGCACATATAAGGATAGTGTGTTCCTAGGATGGAGAATGGGGTTTGAATTCACTTGGACTACGCTAGATTTGGTATTTACCCATTTTTCAAGTTAACAGAAGTCTTGGGTCGAAACTTACCATCCACCCACAGATAGCAAATCCTGCTTGTATTTGTATTGGTAAGTTAAAAATAATAATGCTAAATGATACTGAATACTGTGCATTACTATGCTCTTAAATTATATACCTAACCCATAAACTAGTTTATACATCTAAAATAATAGTTGTTTAGCAGTTTTATGTGCCATCAAAATAAATAGTTGGCAAGTAAGCAGTTGTAGTTAGTCAGATCCAAGATAGATTGTTGAGATCTATGGTGTTTCTATGAAAACAACATGGTTACAGTGATGTATATCTGGAGAATTGTACAAAGTAAAACTGAAAAATAAAACCCGATATAACAATATGAAAGTGTTCTTGCATAATCAAAAAATCAAAATTATGTTACATAAAGGCAACCAACTGTTTATATTTTGGATCATCAGTTTTAGGTAAATTATGTATCACATATTGGCTCTATGCTATTGCCAAAAAAAAAAAAAGGCTTGAATAAACCCAAACTTTATTTTCTCCATCCTGTTATGTCAGCTGAACTGCAAGAAAATGTGTGTAGGAAGGATAGAAAGGAGCTGAATTTTTATCCTGATGGGGAACAGTCAGTCTAAGAATGCCATTTAAAAAAAAAAAAAAAAAAAAAGCTAATTTAGCAGCAAAGATCAACATACTTCAAGCTATGTGAAAAGCTAGGTGATTAAAAGTTGTCATCTCATATTTCAGGTACATATTGATGATTTCAAATCAGTTCTCAGTGAAAATGTTGCCACGTTATTTTTTTTCCTTATTCTATATTGAATGTATGAGACATGACATTCACAACTAATCTTATACTCTTTAAATTAGCTTAGGACCCTCTTCATGTATGCATCAGTCTTCAGAAAAGTATGGACAATTTATAAGTCAATGGTCTTGCTGCAAGAAATCAAAGAAATAGAGCAATAAAGTTCCTTAGAAAAAGCTTTCTCACAAAATGGACTTCTGGCCCTGTAGGTAGGGACACTTGTGAGTTCAAACCATCAGATAGTATGATGGATAATGACTTCATTGCATGGTTTAAGCCTGGTCCAAAGGAACCATTCAGCTATATGAGCTTTCAGTTCTCCGAGAATGAAGAAATGAACACAACGCGTTACTACTTTAATCAGGTCCAAGCTCCCAGTACCTGAGGCTCCCTTGTGTCATAGATGGCTAATGACCCATTGGATCAAATAAATCAATATTATGACAAGAAAATCCATGGGAGGAGGGAGGAAAGGAGGGAATTCAGACATTAGAAGGGGAATAGGCCATTAAAGAACCTTGGGATCCATGTAGGAGTGGTACATGGTACCCGTGGTGACTGATTTTCTTCTGGTGAGTTCTTGTTCTTCTTGCTCTTCATGACTTTTACTTGTGTCTTATATGTTACTTTATTGTATCAGTGTTTGAAAGCAAGAAAGGGATGTTGCTTGCAATCTTATTTTTCAAATGACTATATTGACAATACTGTGATGTCAGTTTAAATGCAATATGGCACTACCTTTCTGATTTATGTTGAATGGAGCTCTGGCCCTAGTGTGGCCAGCATGAGTCTGTTCTTTCTTTAACAGACATGTGGCTTAATATGTAGCAGACATGTGGCATTATGCTACTTGCATGTAGACAGAGGTGATCGGCTCTGGGGCAGATGTGTTCTGCAGCGGAGCGGGGGATCAGACAGGCAGGGCTAATTTTTCTGGCACCGAGCCCACTTGAGGGAGCCACCAGGACCTGGCAGCCCTCACGAGGGAGGTGAACGAGGTGAGAACGAGACATAGGCGGAGCCAGCATCACCCCCTCCCTGGCTGTTCAAAAGCTGCCCCTAGGGA